CAGCTCTACCAACTGAGCCACCATGCCGCCGCCCCGTTAACAATAGGCGTTAATTAGGTGTCAACGATAGCCATGTGATGTGAGTATCAGTCACATGGAGGCAGGGCTTAAAAGCCTGAATTTTGCCTGAAACTCTCAGACTGAAGAAGTCTCTTGGAGGAGAGACGAAACGTTTCATTAGAGAAGAACCCGTCCAGAAGACCTATACTATTTTTTTCTTTTTGCAGTTAGAAACATGCAAGAAAGTGTCTTTTCTATGTTTATGTTTAATAATGAGTGTTTAGTCTATAAAACTCTGAGAACAGGGTGAAATCTTGGAATATTTTGTTTGGTCTGAGCGTAAAAGTCCAAATATTCAGCTCACAACCATTAAACTAAGAGGATTATACTGATGTCTGTTTAGCACCGAGATTAAAACTGATCTAAAATAAACTTTTTAAAAATTAAAATCTTTACCTTTATTTAATTTAGCAAATCTTGTCTTCTTAGGTTATAAATCCATTTCAAAGTAATACCTAAAACGCAAGGAAGAACAAAAAGTATGTTTCTAAAATAAGTGTTTTCTTTAAAAAAAACATTTCAACTCTTCACTCCTTAAACTTCTTGGATCGTCTCGCCTAACAGGTTCCTAAAAGGAGACTTTTAGCAGATGTTTGTCACAGGAAGTCTTGAGTATTTAAAGATGGCGGCTCAACATTCAGAGTTTGTTAGTCAGAGGACAGACAATAAAGTCGGTCAATAGGAGCTGTGTTTGGTGTGTGCATCCCCTCATTGTTCATCTTTTTAAAAAGTTAAAATACATCCCTGTTTACCAGCAACATGTTGAGATAAAAAAAGGGTTATTTTTCCCATAACATCTGAAAACACAAACTGATGAGCTCGACCGTAAATTCAGTCATTTAAACCTCGAACACGTTCTTTTTCAAAACACCCAAACAAAATTCCTGTAAGTATGATTTACACACACGTCTGCAGCTGCTAAGGAAGTGAAACTAACTGTACTTTCTGCATCAGCCGTCTGCTATTTTTATACAACACAACATGAAACTTCATCATCAGAGTAATTATTTTCATATTTACATGCTTCACTTCCTGTTTATTTTATCAAAATAAGAGAGTTGTCAATCATTTAGAGCTTTAAACGAACCGTGTCAAAGAGCTAATCGTCTCCCTGTATAAAAACACAGTTTAAGTGCAATAAACTGCAACGTCAGGCCAAAAACAAACAAACTCTTATGCTGAAGCACGTAAGCAAATCTTCTCTGCTCTGATGGTGAACTGTCAGTTCCCCGAACCTCAAACCTCACAGTGTTTGTGACTTCCTCTTCACACGGCCCACCGCTCATTTAAAACCTCTTTAACCCTGAAACGGCCCAAGATATTTTAAATAACTTTAAAGGATTTTATTTTCCAAATATTGCTAAATATTGTTTCTGTGAAGCAACACTTTTACTGGTAGTATACATGTTTTGATTTTCACAAGTTATGCATCACATACGATTCAAATGTTAATCATTATCTCTTTATTAAGTCTCCTTTCTAAGCATTGATTGAAAGTAAAATACTAAAGTAAGCTTCCTGCATTTTCTGAAAGCTAGGCTAATGTACATACGCTTCCATGTGGTTTTCAGCAGCTGGGTGCTCTTGCTTACGTTGAGCGCGTACCTGCATTTCAGTACTGCATATCAAAACATCTGAAAAACTACTGGGATGCACTCTTCATTTTGAAATGCAGACACAGACAAAAGTTAAAGATTAAACCAGCGGTTATGATTTCCATAACTKCCGTCCTACAGAGGTCTGGTTGTGAGCTTTAGATGTGCCAGACATCCTACCAAGACTATAAATAGTTCAAACCTCTGTAGTTCCAAAGTAAAACATTCAAATTACATCATTTATTATTTTAGGTGAGTAGGTGTGTCTGAAGATTCGACTGATACTGATGGTGGGATAAAGTTTCAGTTTATTGTTCAACAGAGGATATGAAAGGAGGGAAGTTTGCTGAAAGCACAAGTCTGACTGGTTTGGTCAAACAGCAAATGCTTTGAACACAATCTGAGGAAGAGGAATAAAAAATGATCAGCATAATGAGTCTCATTAAAATGATAACTACCTGTTAAGGCAGTAATGTTGACACATTTGCTAGAAAATAGTGAAGGTTTTGGTCAAGATAATAAATACCTATATCAGCTGTTAAAATGGAGGCTTTGCACTAGGAAGACTCACACAAAAATCTTATTTATATAATGAATGCTTTATTACTCAAACAGATTTTGTCTATTTGACATTTGTCCCATGTCTGTTTGAAGACATTTGAAGTGCATTGTAGTCAAATTAATCTGTGATGACTGCAGACCTTTATGTGGTAAATGATTTACACCTGTAAAGGTGATTTTAAATGAGTCACGCTGCCATGATATCATAGTTTTAACAGCAGCTGATCAAAACCTGGAGTAATAAAACTAAAGCAAGTCTTAAACGAGCTCAGAGTTTTGTCTTTTGCRAACTCCTCAACAGATTTTAAAACTCAGTTTAAACACTGTAGTCTCAATGTAAAAATAAATGGATGTTTACTACTTTTTGTCACAAGCATCGAAGCTTCTCTTCTCTGCATCTGCTCAAAAACACATCGCTAAAAACCAAAACAAGCTCCTGTCTGAGGCTGAAAAGGCCAACAACAACCGTCAAAATGCACCGGAATATTATCTGACACACACTTGAGTCGTTTAACGAGGTACACAGGGAAATAAAACAATAAACCTGAGAGGATAAAACACCACAAATAACAAAAAAACTGCGACTGTTGACCCGCATCAATGAGTTCATTCGTCAACAAGCTAGCATAAAAGCTACGGTAAAGTCAATATTAATAGTTTTTCTTTAGTCGCTGTGACAAATCTTACCTCGCAAATTCAGCCAGTGAACGTTTTGTCTTCTGCAAATAAAATGTCGGAATTGTTGTGTCGGTAAAAATCAGATATCGGCCTCAGAGAAGCAGACATCAGTTTCCTTTTCGCTAGCTCTGGAAGGATGGACGTAGCTTGTAGGCAATATGGCGCTAAGCACTATGGGAAATGTAGTCCGCATCTGGACATGAAGCTGTAAACYGGAGGAAGAGTGCCCCCTGGTGGCCGTGATGGAAATGCGACGCTTCACTAAACCGTACAAACAAACTGTATTTTCTAAGCAATAATTTAGGAACTTTAAGCAAAGTATGTTTTGTTTTATGTGGGGAAAAAAATAATGCAACACAAGAGTTCAGGTCTTAACAGGTTAAGTTTGAGGTGTGAGAACAATGATCTTAGAGAAACTGAAACAACTGAAAAGTTTTTGAACTTTGATTTGAACGTTGAAGAATTAAAAGATGATGTTTTGGTTAAATAGAAACAAAGAATCACAGATTACATTATTTTGACAATATCTAAATTTCTCTCCCAGTAAGAACTTTAAGGTGACTAAAACCTGATATGAATAAAATAAATAATGATAATAAATAAATGTATTTTAATTAATTATTTATTTATTTATTAAAGATTTTATTGACTTTTTTTTCTTCTTTTTACTATTCTGGTCACTTTAACAATTTTTTTAAGTTTACAATATAGACAAATTATATAAATTTAATTTCTGCTCTGAGGATCTCTATCAAACATGTATGATTCACAAAAAGAAGAAAATTAAATTCAGTGATAAAAAACTTTATTATTAATAAAATTAAAACTTAAATTAAAACTAAAAAAAAAATCTTCAAAACAGGAATAGAACTAGCCTGGCCCTTGCCTTCCTACACAGCTCTGCTCAATTCTAGTTTCCCTTCTCTGCTCCGTCTGGGATTTCTCCCATAGACAAGGACTTCGCTGGCTGATTTTTAACCGGGCCAATCAGAGAAGAGAACATCAATTTTCTGTGCAGTGTCTGCTTGTAGTTTATTTTACCTGGGCCAATCAGCAAACAGAAGGCGGAGTTTTGAATGACTTCGATGTTCTGCACAGTGTCTGCTAGTTAKTTTAGCATACGGCAGTGGAGGAAGTGAATGAAGCCAGTCTGTGTTGATAAGGCTTCCAAATTAAAATAAATTWGTCTGACAAAGCAGCAGCTCTCATTTACTGTCGTTTCGTTCAGCTCGGTACTTCTCTCCTCTCAGTAGGGTTGTTTACAGCGCACGCGATTTCCGGTTAGCTTCTTAGCTTAGCCTCCTTCACAACACACACTTCAGCAGAGGCCACCCCTCCGGAAAGAAATGGCTTCGGCTGTGGGGTAGTGTGTGATTGTGAGTGTGAATGGGTTAATGTCTGTAAGTGTGAAGCGCTTTGAGTGTCCTGGATGGATCGAAAGGCGCTACATAAGTACAGTCCATTTACCATTTACAAATTGAATTTGAATTTTATTTAATTTTAATTTATTTTATTTTATTTAATGATGGCCTTGAATGACACCCTCGTACGTAGAACTAAATTATACAAAGAATTTTATTTTTATTTTTAGATTTAAGAAAGCCATTTGATTTGGGTGGGCCCAGGTACAAAGTGGGTGGGGCTAGGCCCACTTAGGCCCACCCATAGCCACGCCCCTGTTGCAGGATGCAGAAATGTAAAGTAATATGTAATGAAATTTCAGTGTAACTTAGGCCCAAACATAAAAAATACATTCATTTTCTAACAATTGTTACTCAGATTTTCTCAAGGACGTACAGGTGAAAACATTTACCTTTTTTTTTGTTCAGATTTTTTTTCTAGTTTTATTTTTCCCATTGATGAGCCGTTTAGTTGGTGTGAGCTGAAATAAAATGTTTCTACGATGTAGAAATTATTGACAAGCTGTGTAGATTTATTTTTAGTGTTCTGAGCATTTCTAACAAACATTTATGAGACAAAAGAAACCAAAATTCAGAACCTGTTTAACTTGTTTTTGAAGAACAATAAAATAGCAGACAAGCAGTGGAACATCTCAGGGAACAGTTAGTTTTGTCCTCAAACCTCAGCTGAAGCAGCTTTCTCAGGACAAGTCTGACAAAATACCTGTGAAAATCTGTGAAATGAATCAAATCGAACCTCAAGTGTAAACTCACACAACATTCCTCCAAGTTATTTATTAAACAAAATCAAATAGTAAGTTTAGTTTGAGCTAAAAGAATTAGCAAAAGTGACTCTTTGATTAAATTATTTGTTTCCCAGCTGTCGAATCATCAGTGTTTAAACTAAATTAAGCAGCAAAGGAGTGATTTTAGACTCAAGCAGCTGTCAGGTTTCTAAGGTCAAAGGTGAGATGTGGGCGTGGCCTCAGCACTCCAACTCCAACATCCTCTCGGGCCGGGCAGACTGGCAGGTGGTGGGCGGGGTGAAGACGTCGGGGTCGCTGATGCCCAGCTGCAGGTTGAGGAAACGGGTGGAGGTGGTGACGCTGCTGTTCCTGGTGTAGGTCTCCTGCACCGGGTAGCAGTCCTTCAGGGTGTAAACACCCACCCAGGTCTCATCTGGGGGAAAGACCAGCAGATTTTACAGCAGAGTGGAGAAGAAGGAAATCTTTTATTCCAACAAGTTCTTCTTTTATAATGTCAAATATTATTTAAACACTGGATATACCTTTTATTTATGACAAAATAAAAATAATACCTGACACACTTTAACGCAGGGGTTCTTAACCTTTTTGACCTCGGGGACCAGTTTATTGAACATAAAGTGACACCAGGCCCAGTCACACATTACCAGTGTATGGATCAAAATGATTATTATTCTAATCTAAATCTTAGTTAAATTTTTATTGTATTTACATCAAAACTAAACTATCATAACTAACATAACTAAATTAAATACACTTACAGTTTAAAACTCCTGTCAAATAATCACAAGACTTGATTATGACAAACATTTTTAGATTGTAACCTGCCCATAACAATTATTTGAACAAATACAAAGGTCAGTCAACAGACCACTTAGGCTTATCA